TCAAAAAAAAAAAGCGTTGGAAAGGGAAAGGAAGCCCAAACGTAGTTGTACCTAATTGGTGATATATTTGTTGTGCGTTTCATATTTTGTCATTTTTGTACTGAATTAATTATTATTATTTTTCTAATTTTATTACTTCATCACTTATATTCACTGTGAATTAATTAATATTTATAATCCTGAATTATTGACTGACTTTAAACCTAATTGAATATTTTTTTTAGTTTATTTCATGGTCTGTGCCGTTGGCTTGACCATGTGAGATTACACCTTCATTATTTCCCTTGAAACATATAGATCCTCGGTGCGTTCAAGTGTCCTCTTGCGTATGTCTAGTCGCGGCCGCTGCTACCCCGCACGCGCGGGGTGTGGCGGGGAGTGCTGGCGGTCGTGTCGCCAATACGCTTTTGTTTTTCCCGTTGAATGCGTGCATTTCCTTGCGAAAACAACATTTGCAAAAATAACGACGTGTGTCGTTCGAGACCATATTATTATATTCTAAAGGTCGCTAATAAGTAGTTGTAAAGTGTTTAACTAAAAAACAGTGTTTATTAGTACTGTGGATTATTGTTGTTAAAGGTACGTCTTTGTGCTTTTTTTTCTTACATACTTACCCGTGCTCCTTCCACAACAAACAGAATCTAAGTACCTTCTTATTGTACCCAGTTCTGAAACGAATACAACGCAGATTTACTTGCTTATGTAGGTTATTTCTACAAGTAAGTTGATATTAGGAGAGGGTATGTAATTAATGATACAGGTAATTATGATTTCTTAGCTAATGACTCGGAACCTATTCCAGTAATTATGCTGGTGCCTATAAATCCACTCAACAACGCTTAATCTCGAATTATTTTACCGCCCGATTCGTTCTATACAATTGGGTAGTGGTTTATGGAACATTGTGCTGCGCGCTCCAGCCCACGCAGTTCATAATAATCTCTTGGCTCAATTCAAACACCCGCACGGCCCGATTTGACGAGCGGCGCGGCCTGATTTGAGGAGCCGCACGGCCCGATTTGAGGAGCGCACGGCCTGGTTTAAGGAACCGTCCGGCCCGGTTTAAGGAGCCGTTCGGTCCGATTGGAAGCGTCACTCAAATTTTTTTTGTAAATCTTTTGTCACAGATAGCAGTGCCGAACGAACCATCGTCCCCGGGGGGCTACTTAGAGTGGGAAACAGATGATCCAGATGACAGTCTAATTTTGGAACTAATTAAGAATTTAGCTTCGATCTATCTACCTGATGGTTGGAGATACCTCATACCAGGGAGAAGCTTTTAGGTTCGCACTTGGACCCTCTTGTGCTGAATAAAATTAGCTTCGCTCTCCCGACGGTCGACCTTGCTAGAGCCTTCCATCCTGAATGTACCTCCCTCTCTGAAAAATCCTACAAGGACATGAAGATTAAGATGCTTGGATGGGCCTTCTGTGTGGGGCTTATAATTGGCCCACCATCCATCGGATCCAGAATCGGAGGTTCCGCCGTTCAAAATGAACTGATCATAGCATCGCTAGCAGAATTAAAGCAGAAAGGAGGCGTCAAGGGAACTCGCAGAAACTGAAGATGTAGATGACTCATCGACGCTTCGCTCTACATCGTCCAAATCTAAAAAGCTCAGTAAAATAGATAAGCTTGAACAAAATTTTTGTGAGATGAAGGATATGCTCTCTAGCATTATGGGCAGGTTTAGTAGCATTGTTGACGATGAGTCCGAAGTAGATGCAGCTTGCCCTTCTTCTGACGATGATGACCTACAGGACGAATATCTAAGACGGAATAAGACACTAGAATCTGCTGACTGGGCGGCCCCAGCTCTAACACCAGAGGATGATGACGGAAATTTTGGTTTCTTTCCCCAAACTAAAGAATAGGACACTCCAATTCCAACACCAAAGGCACACAATGAAGAACAGGGTATAAAATGCATGAGGTTGGGCGAGTTGGCTTTCAAACAGATTCGGCATGCTGAGGTCCAGAAAAAGCTGCAGGCCTTCTCTAAAATTGGACATAAAGGAAGCACTTTCAGGACCAAACGCGGTGTTCAAGACTATTTCTGATGACATACTGCAATATGTTTGTGGTTGTAAAGTGGAAGCAATAGAACTTTGAAGGAATGCGATCCTACCAAAAGATGAATACTACGCAACGCTGCTAAACGCAATTCCCCCTACTTCGACACATCTTTTTGATGAGCAGCAGGTCGCAGAGTTGTTGAAGCAACCTCCACTACAAGGACTACCAATTCCTACAAACCTAGACCTTAACCAAGAACCTCGACCAATTTTGAACAAAGAAAAAAGATCCCCAAAATGCCCAAACCCTCTTATCGACCCAAAGTGTCGAATGCAGAGAATAGGAAAACGACTAAGCGTAACCAAATCTTCAGCTCCAGGGACAAGTTCCGCAGAGAATTCGATGCCAAAAAACCTAGGAGATTCTGAATTACAGGTCTTCAGAGGGGCGAGATTAGGCAATTACGTAGCAAGTATTAATTACAAGATTGCCCTTCCCCGGTCGGTTACCTATCGAAGATGTTCCCAGTTCCGAAGTCCGACGGCAATCTTCGCCCTATTGTAAACCTACGTGGACTTTCATATACCTGTAAAGCCAGGCCACATAAGACTTTTAGCAATAGTTCATTAGCAAAGGAATTTTCAATTTACTTGTCTTCCGTTTGGCCTATCAACTGCTCCACTAACGTTCGCAAGGGTGTCAAACTGGATAGCAGCTCAGTTACGGCAGATGGGAATAAGAGTAATTGTATACCTCGACGATTTTCTCATAGCCAACCAGCAGAAGGACGGCTTAATAAAGGGCACAGCACTCGCCATAGGTTTCTTAGAAGGCTTGGGATGGCTAATAAACAAGAAAAAATCGTTAAACCCACCCACTCATCGCCTAGAATACTTGGGAATAGTGTGGGATACAAAGAGGAACAGAGCCTCTTTGCCAGACAAAAAGATAGTCGATTTAAGAAAAATTCTTGTGAAGATAGCAAATTTACGAAGCTGGAATTGGGTCACGGGAAAGAGTCTCCTCGGAAAGCTGAACCTTGCCTCGTTCACGGTACCTCTGGGAAGATTAAACACAAGACATCTTCAACGCGCAGACATTTGTCTTTCTCAAAATCAGAGAACTCGTAAATATCTACTGCCGACAGAAGCTCTACAAAAATCTTTTGGTGGCTCAAGAATCTTCAGAATGGAAGAAAAATTTTTACATGTCAGGAGACGGTATTCATCACAACGGATACTTCAAGAAAAGGCTGGGGTGCTCAAGTCAACGGGTCGCTGCTCAGCGGGTTTTGAGCAGAACACCAAATTTCATGGCATATGAACCGTAAAAAGATATTCGCAGTATTATCATGCATTCCAGAGAGCGCTACCTCATCTCCAAGACCGACGAGTAATTATTCAATCGGTAGGAACCCGATCCAGTATTGTAACAGACCTAGTAGCGAATATTTTAGAGCTTGCTTACAAGAGCAGAATAGAAACATTTGCTTACTACATTCTGGGTATTTACAACGAGATTACCGACAACCTATCACGCCAAAAATCGCTTCCAGACTGGCACCTATCAGATCCACCCCAAATAGACCTATTTGCAACCCCTCTCTCACGAGTTGTTCAAAATTATGTGGCCCGGGACGCGAGGGACAAAAGTGCGGCTTTCATAGATGCATTCAGCAGGATTTGGGACTTCGACCTAGCCTAGGCATTCCCTCCGCCAGACAAAGCTTGCGGAATATACATCTTGATTACCCTTCGGTGGGAGCGCGTGTTCTGGAGGGCCGACCTGAAACGGAGGTCTCCGGACTCGCCATTTCAGATTCGCAATCTTCATCATCACCTGACGGATGCAACGAAGAACAGTCCCCTACCAGATGCTCGAAACTTATGCTTGGAGGCTTGGAAAATACGGGGTGGACCCGTATAACGGCTACATGGCCCAAAGATGACCTCGAGTTGTTAGAAAAGTCATGGAGAAAATCTTCTTTGAAGACTTACGATGCTCCTTGGAAGACATGGGTAACGAGATATAGACAACTCCATTTGGATCCAAATGACCCTGATCCAGCGACGGTAGCACTTCATCTTAGTTATTTACACAGAGTAAAACAGTTTTCTCCAGGAACAAATAAATTACATAAATCTGTTATATCCGTCTTGGCTAATCCTTTGAAAAGAGAAGAAATTTCTAGTCAACCATTAGTAAGTTGTATGATAAAAGCCATTGAGATTTCTAAAGCACCGTCCATAAGGCGATGTATTTGGGATATTGAACAGTTGGTGTTCTGGTTAAAGAGCAGATCACGGCATGTTTCCCTCATACTACTTTTAGCATCTGGGCGGAGAATACACGACCTTACATTGCTAAGAGTAGGTGAGAATTACTTGAAAAAGGGAAGAGAAATCAGTAACTTTCTGGCCAGTTTACGGTTCAAAAACAGAAAAGCAGTCACAGACTGTCAGGTTGGTTATTATCTAGGTCTTCAGAAAAGAACCTAGATCCTGTATTTTGGATTAAAAAGCTAATTACAGTGTCTTCCAGTAGAAGAAAACTCGGCTTGAAATCTCTGTTTATTTCTACCCGGGGAGTCGTAAAACCTGCTTCAAGAGCAGTTATAGCTGGTTGGATACGAACCGCTTTAGTGGCTTTAGGAATAAACTTTTCCCCTGGAAATATAAGGTCCGCGGTTGCTTCGTCAAGAAAGGATAATAATGTACCTCTTGACAAGATCTTAAGACAGGGTAATTGGATATCGGATAAAAATGTTTCCAAATTTTACTTTAAAGAAATTATTAAAAAACCATCAACTGCTAAACCTGTAAGGGATCTAATTAGTAATACTTTCAAACCTGTTTAATTGTTTGATTTCATTAAACATATTGTCTTTTCTGTACGGTACTTTTCTTTCTTTGTTATAAAACCTACCTAATAATTCACAGTACGCTTTCTTGCGTCGTCAGAAACTAAACACCTCTCACAATATTTCATGTCTTGCCTAGGCTTGACCCGAATGAGCTCTTGACGACTTTAATGAGAGGTACTGGCGACGCGACCGCCAGCACTCCCCGCCACACCCCGCGCGGTGTGGGGGTAGCAGCGGCCGCGACTAGACATACGCAAGAGGACACTTGAACGCACCGAGGATCTATATGTTTCAAGGGAAATAATGAAGGTGTAATCTCACATGGTCAAGCCGACGGCAAGATATTAAATATATCGTTTTCTTCCCTTCGTGGGGAAAACGTTGTCTATTTTTGTTGTTTCTTGTTTTCACTTCGTAAATTAAGTTTTTTTTTTGTACAAGATATAATAAAATATAACACTTGTGTATTTACTGACTCAATGAGCATAGGTATTGGATCTCTTATTTCAAACAGCCTAAATCGTAATTGTGGTATAACTAACTACTGTTACCACAACATAAAATTTTGTGAGTTGATTAACAAAATAGCCCAGGGACATATCACAAGACATCAGCCTGTTGTTTTACTGATGGTTGATGATAGTACAGGTGTTAGAAAGCAGGACATTCTAGATGTATCAACACCTTATTAAAGCTGGATTAGGGAAAGATAGTTTTATGTGCTTTCCCATATTCAGACGCTATGTCAGTGTCTGAAAATCGAAGAATAAATAGCATAAACCATATGATATTTAATTTGACATGTCGTAGTGACAATTTATTATTTTTTGATACTAACAAATTTGTTAGTGGATTGACTAGGAAATCTTTGTCAATTCCTCAGAATACAGAACACCAGAAGCCGTCATCGCGCTTCAAACTGTAGCAACTAAAACCATTCTCAACTAGAATAGTATGAAATTTCTACGATTAGTCAATTTTGGCACGTGGCATGTCGTGACGTATTTACGAGTATCAATTTTAATTTCATTATGCCGTCTTGTGTTATTACTACGAGTAAAATTGCTACTGGAATTACGAAAAAAGTGGATAAGATTACATTTCATCTGCGAGCATCGACTGAATAGTATATTTAATTAATTATTGAATTTTTTTTCATCGATTTATTTTTCTATGATAATGATGCGGCCATTTTGTGAGTGTTGTCATTTTTGGTGAAAATTTTACCCAATTATTTATTTGTTTTGGGGGGTATATTTTTGTCCATTATAGAGCCTATGGCATATTAGTTTCCCTGACAAAAAAATTAATACAAATCATACAAAGGGCACGGTTAGATTAATTTTGGAAACCATCTAGCCAGAGCATAGTTTGCTCAATTCACTTTGAAGAGATATATTTATGACGAAGGTGGTTTGAAAACAGCATATCCTACTAAGATATATCTATACTAATTATAATGCTGAAGAGTTTGTTTGTTTGATTGCTAGAATGCGCTAATCTCAGAAACTAAGTAAAGTAAGTAGACTTCTAATCTTTAGTTCCGAGTCTAAAGACAATACATATAAAAAACTAAACCAGCAAAAGGGAACGCAATAAAACCTTTGTACTTATTGAAGCTTTGTTTTATTTGTTGTGTATAGTAGGTGTAACTAAAATTAACAAATCCAGAAATCGTCAACTTTTATGATACCTCTATGAAATGTGTGAACAACTAGTAAGTTGCATTTATCGTAAGTTTACCTATTTTGTTGGGTTTACTCGTATCTTACCCTCCTGTTTTAAAATTACCCCAAACTAAGGGAATTGTTCCACTGTTGGCAACACTACGCGGGTGGGAAGTGCGGCTGTCGGGGGGATTGACGTATTGTTTTTGGACACATTTGACGACATGTAATTATGAGTGAACGCGGCTTCTAGTTTGTTCTGTATTCTGAGGTCAATTCCTAGAAAATGTAAAGTTTTACTTGCTAGCCTTCTAGCAAATATTATTATGGTAGCACTGACACTTGGCTCGACTTAATCCTCACCTCCAATCCCTCTTTTGTTGCCAGTCATGGCCAACATGATGCCCCGGGCTTTTCCCACCACGACCTTGTGCACCTATCCTATGTCCTAAAACCTCCCAAAATTAAGCCCAGGATAGTGTATAGGCGCTGTTTTAGGCAAATGGATGGAGAGAGGCTGCAATATGATGCATCAAACCTCGACTGGGAGCCACTGATGCAAGCGAATTCGATCGATGAAAAGGTTACCATTTTCAATAAAACTGTAATAGATTTATATGACCGGCATGCTCCTATTCGTAAGGTGAAAATGAAACGCCCGCCTGCGCCGTGGATGACCAGAGGCATTCAAATGGCGATGCGTCGTAGGGACCGCGCGTTTCGTAAGCACAAGCGAGACCGCACTGAGGAAAATTGGGTAGCTTTTAAGATTGCAAGGAGTCGATGCAACCAGATGGTACGTAACGCCAAACGCCGACACATCCTTGAAAATATCTCTTCATCTTCTCCTGCCAATATCTGGAATTTTTTAAAATCTCTGGGTATTGGCAGAACGCAACACTCAGACCTTCCAAACTCAATTAGTTCAGACGATCTTAACAAATATTTCTCCACATCTTCGTCTTTGGATCGTCTGACTATAGATGGTACTGTAGCTTTCATTGCTGGTCTGGTGCGTTCCAAAATTGTTCCATTTCGTTTTATTCCTGTGGAGTCAGCGGAGATCAAAAAGATTATCCTGTCCATCAAGTCCAAGGCTGTTGGTTGTGATAACATCTCTCGTTACATGATCACAACAGTTTTGGACCACCTCTGCCCAGCCCTTACCCATATAGTAAACTTTTCCTTGTTCTCCGGTTCTTTTCCATCTCTGTGGCGCCTAGCTTTTGTTAGGCCACTTACTAAGGTCCCAAATCCTACTCTACCCACCCACTTCCGCCCTATTTCGATCTTTTCATTCCTGTCTAAAGTGCTTGAGGCTTGTGTTCATAAGCAACTCTCGCATTTTATATTCCAAAACTCCCTGTTAAGTCCTTTCCAGTCTGGTTTTAGACCAGGACACAGTACCACAACCGCTCTCCTCAAAGTGACTGGCGATGTGAGGGTTGGTTTGGATGATACTAAGATCACCGTGCTGGTGTTAGTTGATTTTTCCAACGCCTTCAACATGGTCAGTCACGATGTCCTCCTGGCCATCCTGTCCCACCTTATGGTCTCCGATGATAGTCTACAATGGTTTTCTTCCTATCTTCAGGGACGACAGCAACGGGTACAGGTTGGTGATAATTCATCATGCTGGTGCACGTTGGAAACTGGCGTCCCTCAAGGCGGTATACTTTCCCCTCTTCTATTTTCATTGTTTATTAATATGCTTACTACAGAACTTCAATGTCCGTATCATCTGTATGCTGATGACTTGCAATTATACTGTCAAGCTAGCAGAGAGCAGCTGTCTGGTGCTGTTGACAAGCTTAATGTCGATCTGCAGGCCATTAAAAACTGGTCCGATAGGTTTGGGATAGCTGTTAATCCTAGCAAATGCCAGGTGATAGTTATCGGCAGTTCCCGTATGCTAGGTAAGATTGGCAATAGCACGCTACCACCTGTAATTTTTGATAATGCTGTCATACCGTTTAGTAGCGATGTTAAGGATCTCGATCTGCACATTGACAGCACCCTCAGCTGGCGTACGCAGGTTACCAACGTGTGTAAAAAGGTCACAGGATCGCTGCGGTCTCTATATCGCCTTAAAAATTTTCTCCCATCCTTTGTAAAAGCAGCGCTTGTGCAATCCCTTATTTTTCCAATTATTGACTACGGTGATGTTTGTTATTACGACCTGAATGCAGATCTCCTCAATAAGCTTGATCGACTTCTGAATAACTGCATTCGATTTGTTTTCAACCTGCGTAAATATGATCATGTTTCTGCACATCGGCTGCAATTAAAGTGGTTGCCCATACGCCAGCGCAGGGAGCAAAGGGCTCTCACCACTTTATACTCCTTTCTTGTCTCTCCTCTTTCCCCTAGCTATCTATCTTCTTATTTTCAATACACCAGTGCAAACCATACTAAATATCTACGTTCTTCCAATAATTGTCATCTTCAATGTATAAGCCATCACACTGACTTTCTTCACTCTTCTTTCTTTATTCAGTCTGTTATGCTATGGAATGCACTACCCACGGAGATTAGGATGGCAACCAGTCGTTTGTCTTTTAAATCAAGATTGCGTGAGCATCTTCTGAAAAAATTGGCGATTTCAAATCTTTCATAACTTTTATTTATATATGTGACAGAAAACTCTTTGACATCATGACGTCAATGGATGGTTGTCAAACGTTGCCTAGAGATTGTAAATTTCGTCGTGAATTGTCAATACGAGTTGGTGTAATTGGTAAGGCGTGTGGATTACACCACAGAGACCCCGAGTTCGAGTCCCGCCGTAAACATGAAGTTTTTTAGTTGATGGAAGTTTTGTCGAACTTTCTGGAATTATTTGTGTGAAAGAGATGAAAAATTAAAGAGTGAGAAGGAGAATAAATAAAAATGAATAGCGAAATTATTGGAAGGTTCTGGAGGCATGACGATCAAAAAGAATAACGAAATTGAATGTTCCAGAACCTGACCGGGGGTATATAAGCAGAACTGCGGCTCACCGCTGGCAGTTGAGTTCTAAGTCTAAAGCGATTCGGAAGAAAAGGAAGAAGTGAAAAAGAAGAAAAGTGAGTGAAATAGTGAAGTGCAGTGAAATAGTGAAGTGCAGTCACTTAAGTGAGTTAAGTCAGTGTGAACGGCAAAGTTGTGTCAGTCGGCCGGACTCTGCTGGAGAGGAACGCCGATAACTTAACTCCGTGGACGCTGTAACTTAAGTGCAATAGAAAGTCTGAAAACCGGCATTAGTGTTTCATTTCATCCAATCCCGTAACTCAAGCCCGCATAGTCAGGAACGTGACGTCTGGCTCGTAACATATATATATATATATATATATATATATATTTATTATTCGTGTATTATATAATATACCTGATTTATATATATTTATTTATATAATGATATTGTTTTTTTTTTCGTTATTATATTTATATATGGTATCTAAGTAATGTAAATTGATAAAATTTTGTTATTTATTCTTATGTCACCTGCCACTCTCATCTCTCAATCACCCAAAGGTCGACTGTTAGACAATGCCTAAGGCATTAAGTCCACCTTTACATGTTTTTGTATAAAGTGTATAAATAAATAAATAAATATTAACTTAGCATGTGGCTTAA